CGCAGGCCTTTTGGAGGACTCCAGGGTCACCCGGCTGGGGAGGAGACTTGGAGGGGCGTTGAGGGGTAGAAGCAAAGTCAAGAGGGGACTTGGTGCAATGGGAATGATTGGGGTAGAGAGGCCTCTTTCCTTATACCTGAGAAATTCCTCGTAATTCACCTCCCAACTCTTACTCATCCTTCAAAACCCCTTTCCAATGGTGTTCTCCCGGGCTTTCGGAGGTTGTCTCAACACTGAGGCTGAGCTTTGGTATCCTTCTCCGGGTTCCCGAAGCCCTGACTGGTCTCCCCCCACGCCTCATAGGATGAGACCTCTGGGGCCCCTACTATTAACCAGCGCAGCTCCAGGCACCAGAGTGTTTGATGAATACACATAGACTGTAGGGAATGCAGTGGGGTGCTGGAGGTCAGGGATGGGTTTGGGGGCCAGGACTGGGTTCTGGAGGGGAGACCATTGTGAGTGATGCAGGAGGCCCAGGCATGGGATGGGGCTGGTCTGTCAGCGTCACTGCCCAGCTTTCTGCCCTGAGGACCTGCTATCTCCTTGTTACTTTTATTTTTTTTATCTTTATTTTTGAAAGTATTATAGATGTCCCCCTTTTTCCCCATTGATCCCCTCCACTCTGCACCTCCCCCCCTTCCAGGCCTTCACCACACTATTGTCTGTGTCCATGGGTTATGCATATATGCATATAAGTTCTTAGGTTAATCTCTTCCCCACCCATCCCCTCCTTGTTACTTTTAGAGTCCTTGGGAGTACTGCCTGAAGATGACCTCTTCTGGCCATCTCAGCCCCCGGGGGCACCCTCCAAGGATGGTGAGGCCCTCAGGAACTTTGGTGAGGAGGGTGTGGTATGACATTAACCCCTGGGGGGAGGGGAAGAGCCTGGGAGCTGGGCTTATATATAATTCTCCTACTTATGATGGAGGAATCTGGGGTGGCTGGCCAGGCTTTTAAGCTGGGATCACTAACTCATCATACTTGACAGGTGCTGTGGCCCTTGCTTTTTTTTTTTCCCAAAGATTTTTTTTTTCTTTTGGAGAGGAAGGGAGAGGGGGAGAGAGAGAATCATCGATGGAGAGTGAAACATCAATTGACTGCCTCCTACACGCCCTCTACTGGGGATTAAGCCCGAAACCCGGGCATATGCCCTGACTGGGAATCGAACCCCCATTGCCTGGATCCTAGGTCCACGCTCAACCGCTGAGCCACGCCGGGCCGGGCAGGAATACTTTAGATTTTTAAAGCAAGAGGCAAAATGGAAGGTACTCTATGGGTACTTAGTAGCAGAGAGAAGGCAAATTACCTTCAGGTTTTGGGAGATCCTATCTCAACCTCCATCAACTTTTCCAGGCTCAACGTGGAGCCAACCTTCTAGCCCTAAACTATCAGGACATCCTGGATCAGCTCAAGAAGCAGTTCCCTAGGTGAGGACAATTCAAGGGGGTCAGAAGTCCGACTGTGGCTCTAGATCCCACTTGAGGGAAAGACTCCTATCTGGTCACCTGTTGGCTCTGAAGTCCCTGACCCAAAAGAACCAGTAATGGGGAAGCCTGAAGCAAAAAGAAAACCAGTAAAACTAACTCTGGCTTTTATTTAAATGTTTGATTTTTGTTGTTCAGCTTGAATTTGCTTGCATTTAATTATATATTTAAATGCTGCATTAAAATTGTATTCATCTTGATACCACCTTAAATGTAGCCCCTTGAAGGAGACCCCTATTCCCTCCCAGCCGGGGGCAGGGGGCAGGGGGCAGGGGTCTGCGCTCATTCTGAGGAAGGGTCCTGCCCTCCCCCCCCTCCAGCTGGTCTTTCCTCCCCACAGGTTCCCGCCACACTTGCCAGCGCAGGTGGACAGCATTTACTCCTTGGTGAGCCACAAATCAGGCAACGCCTCTGGGTAGCTCCTGGAAAGGCTGTTCTGTTTGGCCTCAGGAACAGGTTTTGTGACACCCTCTTCTCTATTTATTTTGCTAACTTTGGGGAAGTGAGTGAACCTATTGAGCCCCAGCTTCATGTGAGTTTTTCTTAATTATAATCTTGCTGTGAAAACAAGAAATTCCATATTTAAAGGAGGTGCTTCTTTAGCCCACAGCACATGACTGGAGTCCCCGCCCTTGAGGCGTGTATGTGCTAGTGTGCTGTTTTCTAGAACTTTCCATGGTGTTCTATATCAACAATGTCCCAATACAACACCTGCTAGCCACATGTGGCAATTGAATACTTGTAAGGACCAGAATTTTTAACTGGTTTAAATTTAAATAGCCATACTTGACTAGTGGCTACCACATCGGACAGGGTAGCTCTACGGAGAGGAGAGGAACAAACAAGTAAATAGAGAAACAAGATTCAAAAAATGTAAAAATTAAAAGGAAAATAGAAAATGAGTAAAGATTTTGAGCTAAGGTAGTCAGGAAGGGCTTCTCAGAGGAAATGATGCTCACAGAAGATAGGGACTCCTGCCACCCCTAGAGAGAACAGGGAAAGGTGTTCCAGGCAGAGGGCACAGTATGTATAAAGGCCCTGGGGCAGGATTTTGTATGATGTGTAGGAGGAACAGTAAGGAGGCCAGTGTACTTGGAGCAGAGTGAGCAAGGGGGTAAGGATGGAACACGCAAGGGGTGGGGGAGAAGGCTCTGGGAAGGCCTTTGACCTTCACATCTAGAATGAAATCTAGGGGTTTCCCTAATTAGCACTCCTTCTGAGTGTATGAGGTGGTATCCTATTTGATGGGGTAGGGACCAGAGAGAGAAAGTGACTTGCCCAGGGTCACACAGCTGGGGAGAAGCATGCACAACATTCAAATTCCAGACCCTTGCCTACTTCCATTGACCACTGCCCAGTGTGATCCCTGTTGTTCCTTTGTAGCTCCAGAAGATTCGGCAGGGTCTACAGGAATATCACAGACAGGTGAGTCGCCAGGAGCTCAGGGTACAGCTGCCCCTCCTTGAAAGGCAGGGGAGAGGGGGAGGAGGTGAAAGCAGGGGGGAATGGGGGCAGGTAGTTCAGGGCCTTTTGGGCCTTGGGAGGACTTGTGCTTTTACCCCAGGTAGGTGGGAGCCCTGGAGGGCTGTGGGCAGAGGAGAGGTGGGACCTGGAACCCCCAGGATATCAGCAGATCCCAACATCTTGGGAGTGTATCTCCTATCCTCTCTCTGAGCCTCTTCTTCCTGGCCTGCTCCCTGGGTCCCTGTGTGGCTCAGATGAGGACAGGGATGTTTTCAGCATTTTGCAGGTCAGTTGCTTCTGCTCTGTTACGTGTGCCAGACATACCGGGATTACCATCTTCCTTATGTCTGAGAGTTCTCAAGGGCCTGGTTCACAGGCAAGCCAAGGGCAGGTCTGCACCGGAGGCCCTAGCTCCCTTCACAGGGCGCCTTGCCCAGGCTGAAGCACGACTTCCACCCCTGCCTGTCTTCCTACCACCTGGCCCCTTTCTCCTGGGTGCTGGCAGGACTTTCTGCCTGTGCCAGATGTGACTGGCAGAAGGCCAGGGCCATGTCTGAGATTTAGCAGGGGCTGGAGTGGGCAGCTCGGGGAACTGGGAGAGACAGATGGGGGGGAGGCAGGAAGCAACCAGAACAGTTATTCATTCAACAGATATTTATCTATCACCTTGCCAAGTGCTGTTGTAGGCCCCAGGGAAATAGCAAAGAAGAACACAGACAAACTCCTGCCCTTGGGGTGAGAGGAGCTTGGTAAACAAAAGTGTCAGATGGTGAGGGCTGAGCAAGGTGGGCTTGGAATTGAGCAGGCCCAAGGGGATGTAGGGGACCGGAATGGGAGTGGGTTGCAATTCAGGGTGGCCAGGAAAGGCTCATTGAGAAGGTGACATTTGAGCAGAAAACTAAAAGAGAGGGGAGGGAACCATGAAGGTGTCTGAAAAACAGCACATGCAAAGGACCTGGGGCAGTACTGTGCCTGGCATGCTGGAGAAATAGCAGGAAGCTTCTTGTGCCTGGAGCAGAGAGAGAGGGAGGAGGTGAGGGCAGGTTGTGCAGGGCTGTGTGGACCACAGGGAGGACTTGGGCTTTTATCCCAGGAAGATGGGAGCCCTGGAGGCTGTGGACAGAGGGACAGGACCTGACTCAGGTGCTCACAGGCGCCCTGTCACTGCTACAGGAGGACGGGCTATAGCTGGCCAGGGCAGGAGCTAGGGGACCACTTAAAACCATCCAGGTGTAGGATGTGAGTCACTTAGAGCATTTAGGTGGTGAGAAGTAATCAGACTGTGGACCGTGTTTTGGGGAGAAACCAGACAGCACTTGCTGAGTACCAAGTCTTTGGGGGGGGGGGCAAGGTCCTAAGATGGGCCACTTCTGTAGCTACTCAACCCAGGAGGGTCCCCCACCCAGGCGATGATCCTAGCAGCCTTGATGGCCTTTTGGTCCCCAACAGACCACCTCCCTCTCCCCTCTGTTTTCTCCTCGTTTTCCCAGCCTCCTTGCTGTGCATTTAAAATATCAAGCAGCAGCAGCAGCAGCAGCCGCCGCCCCACTCCCACTGCTCCCCAGTCTGCCTGCACACAGCCTTTCCCCAGGGAAGGCCAGCTAGCAGGCAGGAGGGAGCAGCACTTTTCATGCTGAGTGCATTAAAGTGCCAGTAAATTGCGCATTAACGAGCCAGGGCGAATTGGGGAAGGCTCCCCTGGGCCTCACGCAGCTGGGAGGCCCAGCTGGGGAATCCATCACGGAAGGCCCCAGGAGGCAGCAGGCCTGAGAGCTGAGGGCTCAAAGGGGGGCTTCCACTTTCTAGACCCTACCCCCACCATCCTGTTTGCCTAAAAGGAAGGGGAAGGACCAGGCTGTTTC